GAATAGAAACTTCAAAAGAACATAGTTTATTTGAAATAGAACTCTTAACATATTTATACACCTTGGAAAAACCTTGGGAAAGTTGTACCTCTAGAGCACTGCCACTGCAGACAGATTCAAATGGATGTCTTTGGGGGGGTCATGTGAACATGAATACTGTCTCTCACACACACACACACACACACACCCCTGCTGCAGTCCTTTAGGATATTACATGACATTTGTGCAGTTCACTACTTTGACCAATAAATGCACACTCTTCAAGAAGTTGCATCTCTCAACTACTGTATGTAAATATTGAATTCCACTGTTAAATTTGCTAGTCAACTTTACTAATTGAGTAGTAGGTTGTTGGATGCCTGTTTAATTAACCTGGCCAATCCTTGGTTCTCATTGAATGAGCAATCGTTTTTGCCTAACAGTAAAAGTAGAGATAAGCCGATATTTTTTGATATTTGCATTTTTCTATTTATTTGGTTTGTGTTTGTGTGCTTTAATATTGGGTTTACTGATAAAACTTGGTGGGTCTCTAAAGAATAGCACTCAACAACACATTACAACACAGTGTGTTCAACAGGAAACAGTGGTGTTCACAGGTAAAGTAACGCATTGTTTGCATAAATACTTAGCAACTTAGCAACATGCAACTTGAGCAGTGTTTGATAGGCTGCAAAAAACAGAAGAAAATAAATTTGTGACCATTTAGAGCTAAACTTCTGAATGTAATAATAAAAAATTATAGTAATAATTACTATATGATACTAACAAAAAAATCATATTAAATAGGAATATTTCATTATTTTTATTATTATTATTATTATGCAATGCTAACAAAACTTATTAGTATATGATACAAAAAAATAACAAAATAAAATAAATTATTAATCATGTTCATTAGGAATATTTTATTATTATTATTTAGAAGTATTATTTAGTATTAATAAAATATTCACATTGGATATTAAGCTATTATTATTCTAAAAATTTGTTAGTGTCGTGTCAAAAAGCAGCAATGAAACAATAATCCATTTTTTTTCTTAGCTGCTGTATGTCAGTGGGTGTGTATATCAGAAGTGGTGACACATTTATTTGCATTTTGTTCTGTGATTTCACTGAACGGATATCCAGCAATCGAAAAATGCTACACTGGAGCACAACCATTCACAACCACTGATAATAACATGCATAAATATAATGAAAACTTCTGCTTGACAGTTGGAGATGTCTCTTTCTCTGCATTAGACATATCCTTGGCATAAGCTATTCCATAAAGTGGCCCGGAGATAATCAGCTATGGCAGGAAGTAATGACACCTACGGATGTGACCTCCATCTACTCCACTGAATATGTCACCTTCAAGACACACTTTGCTTCTTTCCATCTACAAATCTCTATTCTCTTCCTCTGCCTCTCTCACACACACACACACACACACCTTCGCTCTATCTCTC